CACTTAAAAAAAGTCACTGATGATGAAGAAATAAATAAACTAAATAAACTAATATTTGGTTTCATTTTCTACTGAAGTGACAAAAAAAAAGAATAGGTGAAGGCGTTTTTCTAGCAAATGGGATAATTTCACTATGTAGCAGTACATGACCACGGAACAAAACTAACTCATTGCACATTTTGGCTTTGTTCACCTCATATGAGAGCAACCTCTCTTATCTGTTAGCATTTGCAGGAGCCACACTCGACAAAAAACTGAAAAAAAATTAATTCTCTGCAACACTGCACAGGTAGCCTATTAATATGGCGGACATTCAGTTCGACTAGATTCTGGTTACAGTTTAATGGGAACCATGCATTGCCCTCCCTGCGGTTCTCATTGTTAAAAATATCTGATGCATCATGAAATAAAAACTCCAGCAAAGATGACCCAGAACTGTTAGAACAGCTAGAATCCTACAGACAAGAATGGGACATTTTCCTCCAAACCTTCGGCTGGTTTCTTCAGTTCCTAGATGTTTATGGGCCGTTACAGACAGAAACTAAATAACTGGTCAGTAAATTTGGAAACTGGGCATTACATTGGGGTGGTGGGGTGTGATCTGCTGCTGTCACATTACCAAACACTCACAGCTGGGAGTTTACACAACTTCTGACCAAATAAAGATCACCTGTCTTGATCATCAGCATCAGTCACAGCAAAGTACAAACTTTGTTCTTCTGTGGTTTTATATCTAATTGAAGCAGACATTTTTTACAAGAAGAAATTTTTTATGTGCATATGCAGTGAAGTGTGTGACTTCACTCAGATTTCATATCTAATATCTCAAAACTGACATCTACAAAGCTATATCCTTACAAAACAAACCTTTTGATAAAAATTAATAAATTCTTTGCACCTACTTGTAGCCCTGCTGATCCCAGGTCTGTCCATAGACTCCATAGCTTGGGACCTGCCATCCATTGGGGACATACTGACCAATCTGTTGTGTGTTGCTGTACCACTGACCCCACTGATTGTAGGGCTGTGCTGCAAAGCTCAATGTGTTCTGCTGTAGTATAGAAGAATATTTTAAGAAGCAAACTATCATACTGCCCATCATTTATTTAGATAACCTAATACAATATGCAGAGAAAGAGTTTCTGTACCTGTGCCATTTGTACCTGCTGTATGGGGCCCTGGACCATGTCTGTGGTTTCTTTGCCCCAGTAACACTTCACAACATTGCCCTCTATGGAAGTGCCATTGACAGAAACTATAGCATGAGCTGCTGCCTCGTGAGAGTTAAACCTGAGGAAGGATACAAGCTAAGACATTAGACAGACTCAAACCAAGTAGTCCAACAAAGACAACATGTTCATCTAACATCATCTTCATACAGTTTAGTCAGTTCTGTGACGAGATATTTGAAAGTCTGTTTACCTCACAAATGAGTAGCCTTTCTCTGGGAAAACACGGATTTCCATTATTTGTCCAAAAGGTGAGAAAGTTTGTCTCATAATTTGCTCTGTAAAAATAAATAAATAAATAAATATTTTGATTAATGTAGACAGTGTTCTTAAAAATGTGAAGTGATGTTAAACTCACCTGTGAGACCTGATGTGACGCCTCCGCAGTAAACTGTACAGTTACTGGGGCTGGACTGATTCAACACCTCATCGAAAGACAGCTGCTTAGTATTGGTTGCTATAGAAAAAAAAAGTTTGTTAGAATTGGAATCATATTTGTCTATTTAACTTTAATTGAACATGTTCCAATTTGCATTTAAAATATTCTATTAACATTTTTTGGGACCAGAAAGAAAAATAAAGTTTTCCTATTTTCTGTTCCAAACTTAGTCTTATAAATGGGAGATAACCATTTCATCCACTAATCTGGACTCTATAGCTGTGTTTCCATTGACCATGAAAATGCGCAAATTAGAATTTAGAAAATAAATTTGCTCAATGGAAACACGTCATTTTCGAAAAAAAATTACTTTTTTTGACAAAATGTTTTTGCGCTAGGATGAGGTGGTTTTTCAGCCGTATCGAAATTGGTGTTTTTCGCAAAACTGCAATGGAAAC